TAAACTACCTTAGTAGTCACAGCTGCCCTGGGGCAGACTGACGGAAACATGGCTGCCAGTTTGCGCTTACGGCCTCTCTGACCACCACCACACACACACCAGTGGAGGACACACACTGGGAGCAAGGTGGGTGAAGTGTTTTGCCCAAGGACACAACAGACAGACTCGGGACAGGGGGGAATCGAACCGCCAACCTTCTGGTTATTAGGCGATTGATCTACCTCCTGAGCTACTGCCGCCCCGATATATTGAATATTCAGTAATATATTATGCTTGTGTGTTATACATACATTGAATTTATTTTTGTTTATTTTAAAAATAGTGACTAACTTCCTTTTGATTAGAATGATAGTCATTATATTTTGGCCTTTATTTTTAGGTCAGTTTTATGTATTGGACTATAGATCAACACTATCAACTCCACCCTCATCACAACTATAACTTCAACCAACTCAACCAGATGGCGAGCTAACCCCAGAAAAGTGTGGTAGGATAAGAACCACCTTGAGGAGTTCCTGCTTTTACCCAGGAACAGAAAAATTTCAGATTGTGTGGTATTTTTTTGTTTATCCCCGATACAAGGTTGGAATTGGTTACAAGCATTTTTTTCCTTTTCTCCTGGACAAAATCTCAACCATCTTTGCAATAAATGTTTTTTTTTTTTGTTCATTCTGTGAAAAAAATTATTTGACTACAAAACAAAAAAAACACATCTTTTGTCTGTGTATCATTCACCCACACCTCAGGCTCCTTAAGAACCAGAATCTTCTGATGCAAATAGCCCAAAGTAGTGTTCCATATGTGTGTTTGAAAGTTAAAAGAAAAGGCACAAGGGTTCATCTGAGTCACTTTTCCTGTTGTCAATTAATGGGACCAGGAATGAATGACTGATTGACTCATAAACTGAGGGATCTAGAGGTGCAGCCTATCTAGCAGCTGATTTAGTGAATGAGTCATCATGCTGATTGAAATAGGCAGCCTGAGCTGGAGCTGGCTTCCATTGAGCCGAGTGACTCTGGATGTAAAAGCAAAGTTTTCAGTTGTTTTGTGCATGAATATGTCTGTACATGTGTGTGTGGCCCTGCTGTCCTCTGTGTGGGAGGGAAAAAAGTGTCTCTGTGATTTTGCTGCTTTAATAACACCTTGCCATTGAGAGGCTAATGAAGCTTGTCTGCTTTTTCACCCTGACGGAGACTAAGAAGGTAGACACAGAAAGTGATGCCGGAAAGAGCTCTCCTGAGGTCACTACAGCGAGTGTGACTTCAAATATCTTTTTTGTATGTGTGCAGCGGAGAAAGAAGGAGAGGGGGGATGGAGCGAGAGTGACAGCAGCACCCCAGCGGTTTGTCTCACTGCGATTGTAAGGGTCGGTGGGTTTGTGGTGCTTAGACCTCAGGATGCCTCCTCTTCAGCCCGGGGGGCCTGTTTGAAGAGCATGAGCTGATGAGGCTTCGCCATGAAGCCACATACTGGAGTGGTTTAACGGTGCAACTAATATGCTCAAGTCCCAGAGTCGACCCAGCCAAAGTAGCAATTCCACGGAACGGTAGATTTCTATTAATTAAATCATAATTGGGTTTTATATATTTATTTGGTGGAGACATTGGCAGGGAGAGGAGTAAGATTAGGCAGAGATTTGCATGTAAAATGTACGAGCTTCATTACACTACCTTGGCAAAGACGGAATAATTCGCCTGCCTGCGGGGCACACAGATGGCTCTGTATGTTTGCTAATTTGCTCTCCTTTCAAGGTCATTAGTTCTGTTTGGGGGAACTATTGAAAAGTTTATTTGAGGTGGGTAAGTTCCTGAAATGTTTACGATGTGACAGCTTCTTTGTTTTCGGACGAGGGATTAAAAGCAAAGTTTAACATCGTCTATTTTCGGAACGGTGTCAGTAATCATACAAAAAGACCAAAAATGTCAGAGAAAACTAAAGCTCGATTCAGTGTACATCGAGGGAGAAAAACAATAATCCATATAAAAGGCGTTTTCAGTACTGTCCACAGCTAACTCAGCAGTCATATGTAATATTTCGTTTTCTCAGTAGTCTGTTCTTACCTGCACTAATGAGAGCTGTACATACATAGTGTACTACCTGTATGTTATCTAAACAGCACCCAGCCGTGTCTCTCTCGAGCTCATTACTCAGCGGAGGTCCAGGAAGCTGAATCAATTTTTCAAAGTGCAATATTCACTATTTTCTCCTCCCTCTTTAGACGGGTCCTGTTTAGTTTTCTTGCGCAGGAAATGAGTTTTGACATAATGGGTTTTTGCCCAGCATTACATAAACACTGACAGCTCCGGCACTGTGTGTGCCGCACAGGTTGCCGAGGCTTTGTTTGTCCAAAGACCTGCTGCCCCTCTTGTCACTCACATCTGCTTTGTAAATAATCTAGATGCAGAAATGTGGGTGTTTGAAACATTTATTACAAACCAAAGACTTTAATGTGAAGGAGTGAGACAACTTTTTGGCAGTAACACAATAATGCGTAATGATTTCAGAGACTGTACATGTGTGTCTACAGGATGTATGAAAAGCCTCTGAGCATGAACAGAGTTGTCACAAAGTAAATTACGAGCTGCAGGCCACACAGTTTGTTGTTGTTCTGTTTCCTCTTCTTTGTAGTTCCAGTCTGTATCATTGATGAGCGCGGTTTGATGACAGCTATCTTTTCCAATATTGTCTGTGACATTTGACTGACTGCTTTAAACAAAGACCCGGGATGAAAAAGATATAAAAGCGTCTGAATCCAGGAAAATCAAAGCTGTGTCAGCATCTTATGCAGTCTGAAAAGGAAATATATACGTTCATGGCTCGAGATTGGTCACGTCTTGTCAGTGGAATTGATTTAAAAACCCAAGAACACAATAGGATGTGTTAACCGGAGAATAAGAGAGATAGTTGTGGGCATGTATCTTTTGAGTACATGGTGCTACTGTAAGTGTGATAATTCAAAATTAGCATGTCCAATTCACTGCCTTCTGAGATAGGCAATAGCAGTGTGTCTTAAAGGGCTATGTTTCATTTAATAATGAAACAGACGAGGGAAAAAGTTTAATCAGCCCGGGTATTATTGAGGATATAGTGCAGACGGCCTAGCGTGGTAGACATAGAATAAAAAGAATCACTTTTATTACTATCAAACTGCAATTAGTTTAACCCTTTTATCTCTCGCCATTTGTAACGCTATTTGGACCATTTCACAGAGCCTGGAAATTTGGGCAGTAAGAGTGAAATTGATATAGTGAGGGAGATACCATCAGCCCAGAGGGAAGGTCGGGTGGGGGTGGGTGGGGGCTGCTTATTTCACAGTCTGTCCCCATGGCTTAAATCCAGCCAGCATGTAGCCACAGAGTGTCTATTAATTTAAATAATATACATCAAAAGAAACAAACATATCTATCTATCTATCTATCTATCTATCTATCTATCTATCTATCTATCTATCTATCTATCTATCTATCTATCTATCTATCTATCTATAAAAAGCTGGGGTCAGTTCGGTCTCCTGTTTCTTTGACATTCGTGGTCACTAAGTTATATTAATGATCCGCTCTCGACCCTGCAGACAAATTTGAGGATGGCAGACATAAATCCAAAATGCTCCCGCTCTCCTCCATGAGATTCAGGAGATCAAAATTAAAGTATTCTCTCTCTCTCTCCAAACAATAATATGACTAAGACATCTTATTAGCATACAGTGCAGGGAAGAAGTCTTTAATGAAGGTATCAGAAGGATCTCATTGTCTGGGGATTAACACTTTCTTTTTCTTAAAAGCCATTATTCAACATTGACTAATGAACGTATTGTATTTATTTGTGTTATTTTTGGTCTTTTTCTTCATGTTAATTGGCTGTTTTCATATTTCTACATTTTGTTTTGTTTTTTCTTTTTTTTTCTAAATAGGGCATTGCAATTACTTCAGTTTTTCCTTCTGTGTGATAAGAGGTTGGAATTATTTGTTTTTGGCAGCGCTGCTTGGAATTTAAGATTGACAAGGATTTCAGATCACTATATACACATACGAATGGAGAGATAGATGGATTTCAAATCAATATATATACATACGAATGGATAGATAGATGATTTTATAGATGAAAACACAACACAAAAAGAAAAAACAACACAATAAGAGAAAAAACAACGGCAAATCAGAAAACACAACACAAAAAGAGAAAACACAACAGCAAAAGAAAAATAAACACCACACAAAAAGAGAAAACACGACATAAAAACAGAAAACACAACACAACGGCAAATCAGAAAGCACAATGGCAAAAGACAAAACACAACACAAAAGAAAAAACACAGCACAAGGGCAAATAAGAAAACAAAACACAAAAAGAGAAAACACAATACACAAAAAAACCACAACACAACGGCAAATAAGAAAACAGCACAAACAGAGAAAATACAACAGCAAAGGAAAAATAAACACCACACAAAAAGAGAAAACACAACAGTAAAAGAGAAAATACAACAAAAAAGTGAAAACACAACACAACGGCAAATCAGAAAACACAATGGCAAATAAGAAAACACAACACAAAAAGAGAAAACACAACGGCAAATAAGAAAACGCAACACAAAAAGAGAAAAGACAATGGCAAATAGGAAAATACAACACAAAAAAAAGAAAACACAATGGCAAATAGGAAAATACAACACAAAAAAAGAAAACACAATAGTTAATGCTGATGTTCCATTGTCTGATTTGCTGTTGTGTGTTTTCTGATTTGCTGTTGTGTTTTCTCTTTTTGTGATGTGTTTTCTTATTTGCCATTGTGTTTTGCACCTCAGGGCCACCGTACTTTGAGGATGACTTGAGTCTTTCACAGTTTTTACTGTCCTTCAATTTGTTGCCCACCATCCTGCTGACGTCTTAAACTTAAACACATAGTAAAAGTTTTATTTGTAAATGTGTGTGAAGTTATAATCAAGATGTCAACAAAACATAAACATTACATTCAACAGCTTTCAGATTTGTGACCCGCCTGGCCTGTAAATGTGAAGTGAATCATTTCAGTTGTTGATCAGTAATGCTGGAAGGTAGTCTTGATATAAACTGAGATTTTTGGAAGAGATGAGGTACTTCACTTGTCCACACCAGAGACCAATCAACACATAAGTTTAAACGCTGATGCTCGAGTAGCTCCGAGTTAATTTGTCATTTTTCTCTCTTACTACACAAACAGGAAGTCTTGACAAAACCATATCACTGCCACGGCCAAATCTGACCGGTTCAAACTTCTTCACCCCTGAGCTGAAGGTGTGAGGGTTTTTAGGGGTGTAACACAAATGACGAGACTTGCGACTCTGTCACCGAGTGAGGAGAATGTGTGTTGATCATTGGCAAGAGAAACCGACGGCGGCTCCGAGCCACATGGCCAAAGACTGTGAGCCCACTGTTGGCAGCCTCAGAGGAGATGGCTACCTTCCAGTCAACACTCGGGCTGGGCAGCTCAGAAACCCTGCTGCAATATGAATTAAAAGATGTGAATTTGAATTTGGGAAACTGATCTTGAAATTGCACATCAAAGTTGAAATTCATAAAGAGACCAGTAAATTTCATGACGCTCTATTTAGTTTAATGTAAAACCATAAAAATTCACGGTGTGGAGCACTTAACAAATCAAGTGATTAATGGTCCTAATTCAGTGGTTCAGTGGTGCGATGCAAATTTAAATGAACAAATTCAAACACAATTTCTCTCAGACCAATCATCTTTCAGACATCTGAACCACTTAGTTCACATGCACATTTCTGATCAACACATTTGAACACAAAAAAAGGCCTTCAAGTAAATCCACCCACCTCTACTTAACAAGGCTACAGCCATGTTATAAACCACAGCTGTCCATTAAAATTCATTCAGATTCTCAGTGGAGTTTACAATGCTCAGATATTCATGTGGAAGAACAAAGAAAAAAAAAAAGGTCCAGTCATGTTTGTTCAAATCTGGAAGCTGTTGCTCTTGTACTTCCTAAATATTTCAATTTTCCATTGGGGAAACTCCCCCTGTCTCGCTGTCACTGGGGAATATATAGTACATAGTGATTTATTCTTGTCTGGGGTCAGATGCTAAAGACTGAACAAACTTCCTGGTTTGTGAGTGAATCAGAAAAAAAACAGCTCTCCCAAACCCAATTCCCCCAAAAACCCTCTGATAACCAAAATGTTACTTTTTACAGTGTGTGAATTACATATAATGAGGATTATACTGATGTAAAAGTCTATTCTGCGCGTATGTAAACATTTATTTGTGTGTGTCTGTGTGTGACACCAGCCAAAGCACTAATGGCTTTGTGTATGAGATAGGCCAGACTGTACTGCTCTGACAGTGAAAAGAGGATAACAGGGAGATGAGGAGCAGAGAAAGAGAAAGAGAGAGAGAGAGATAAAGAGAGGAGGAGACAGAAAAGGAGAGAGGGAGGGAGAGGGTGAGAGAGCCACTCAGATACTCATTAGCCACCAGACGCTATCTGGAGTGTGTCAATAGACTCATGTTAGTGGGGTGTTAAAGCATTGACCAAGATACGCTGAGAGAGGCAGAGAAAGACGGAGAGGTGGGGGCAGAAAAGGGAAGGATGGCGAACGCTCCCCCACCATCGCAGCACCTGTCACACCTTGAGATAATCATCCATCATACCCCGCCACTGACTGGAGAGTGTGTGGTCCTTTTTAATGGCCCCCATTGACACGATTCGTCTTCTCCGCCACCCACAGCCTGTCACCAAATTGCTACTCTTGCAGCGGGGAAACATTTTATTGCACCTGTGAAAAAGATGAGATGTGTGCATTCTTGCCTTTGAGAAGTTTTTGCCTCGTGAAGTGAAGATAGAAGGTGGAGAAAGTGCTAATTTCTATTGTCAAAGCAGCACGGGAGGTCCTTATATGATTATATGACAGCATGAGTCATACAAGTCCCTTACTTTCAGTTTCCTCCAGCAAGGAGAAAGAGTGCGAACTTGTTTTAAAATAAGAAAATGGCCCTCGACTGTGATGATTTTATTTGAAGAGAGCGGGAATGATGATTTCCAACCACAGAAGCTTTCTTCAAACCAAAAGTCAAGTTATTGCTCACATAAATCTGACTTTGATGAGTGAAAGAAGCTGGGCAGACAGGTGGGAAAACCATGAGGCCGTTTTGAATGAATAGACACAATGTCCTTTACTCCCTGTAGACACCTGGCTCGCACACAAAGACACGGTTGTTCCCATGGTTTGGTTCGACACCACAAAAGACACCTGCATTAAATAAAAGTTTGTGTATAGAGCGTAAATATCTAGATATGTTGATTCACATGTACTTTAAAGACAATTACTATAAATCTGTAGCACCGGGATCTCGTCATGTCTCTCTCTCTACGTGATCGCTCTTCCAAGGGAAACTGCGGTAAGGTGAGCTCAGACGTTGGAAAAGGCGTTAATAGCGCATCTAACGCGACTAGATGTCCCATGGTGCAGCTTGGCACGCGAGCGGAAGGGGCCAAGCTAATGGGAGGACCCCGGTGGGAGGGTGGCACGCACCCAGGGCCTCTGGCGGCCATTTAATAAAGCAGTGCGGAGATGTCTGCCTGCTGTGGTTTCTAGGTTTCAGATGATTCTAGTTTCAGGTGACATGCCTCATGCTCTATTAGCAGACTCTTCCGACCACAGTTTTCTTTGGCAGCCGCACAGGTTCAGACTGCAGCAGCTCTGAGCAAGACCAGTTTTCCACACGCCACCTTTCTCCTCCTCCATCATATACACATGTAAATAAATGTCTGCACACACACATGTGTGGGCACCAACACGTACAAATCTAGATCTCTATTTCATTAATATATACATCCAGACACATAATCAAACATAATCATGCACAGACACTGACAGACAGGCCCCGCCGTCAGTCTCACTTGTAAATAGAGGTCTGTTGATGTACAGAGATAGGAAAGGGAGTCCAGCACACAGACATCCATATATTTTGTCTGAGCCAATACTGCAGGTCGGCCTTGACATGGTAGGAGTGCAGGATTCAGGCTCCAGTGGTGTTTGTCAAGTACAGAGCTGTGTCCAAACATCCTGCTCGGGCCTGTGAAGTGGTCGGATGCTGGTCCCTCTCGCTCGGCCTCTTTTTCAGCACGCTGGCATGCGTTCTGGGTGGCATCAGGTCTCTGGCCTCAGTCAAAGACCTGTCTCCCGGACTCCTGCTAAGCTTCATTCTCCCCTTTCACCTCCCCTGACCATCCCCTGCATCTGCATCTCGGCGGAGTCGTGCAGACTGGGTAATTCGGTTCTGTCTTTTCCAAAAAGGATCCTGTGAGAGTTGAAAGTGCTAAAATAAAGAAAGTGTGTCATCTTCTGCGGTTTGCATGTAAATCTACAGAGAAATTTGGAATTGAGTTTTCCTCTCTGTTAGAGTGCTTAAGAGTCTGCAAAGACTTTTGTCTTTTGTCATCGTGACAAGTGTATTATAGCAGCATATTGTAATCACACAAAGGCACTTTTGTACCGTTCAAATCACAGTTTTTAAAGTTATTGTTCAGCCGTATGAAAAACTTCTTCACTGGTGATGTCTCTGTTATCATCTCTGTTGGATATGAGGGTCTGACTGAAAGTTGAAAATTCTTGTGAATCCTTTAAGTCGTTCTGAATCTGCGTGAAGACGACTGCCATGGAAGGTGAATTCTCTTTGTTTTTTTAAGCCACAAGGACAGATTTGATAGGAAGACGCCATAGACTTTATATAGAACGGATGCCGTCTACCTCCTCGCTGAGTGAAGCCACCCCAAGAACAGCACACTCTGACGACAAGCTGCAGTATCCATCCATCCCTATGGAGCTGTGGACAAACTTTAGAAATTTATTACACAGAATATAATTTTTCTCCCCCCTGCTTGCGATGTTGACATGTAGTTATTGTAATACTGGTTGTTCATGTAGATTCTCATTCATCCAGGTCATGGTTTTTCTCGAAATCTCCAAAATCTGGCAACTGGACTGTGTAGAGTTGAAACACCAGCTCCCCCCACTAACACTTTTAGAACTAAAGAAGCTTCTTGGATAAGCGGCGAAACGTCTTCTCAACTCTACACAGTCCAGTTGCCGGATTTTGGAGATTTCATGTCAGACTGGTTTGAGCTTAAGTCCTCTTTTTTCTGTACAGCTCAATTTTTAAGTTATTAGGAGGTTCATGTTTTCTATGATTGACACTTGATAAAACCTATGGGCGTACGGAGATTGTGTGCAATGCTACTGCGCAATGTTGGTTTCAGAAAGTGGAGAAAAATCACAGAAATACTGCGAGCTTTTCTGCTTTAAATCCGTTTACTGGCGAAAGGCGGAACCAAGTTGTCCATCGTATATACAGTCTACAGAAGATGCATGTAGCATCTGTGTCAAAACTTCTGTTTGTCTCTTCTGAAGGCGCCAGGTTTTCTCTCTTGTACTAAAAAAAATGTACACCTTTTCCCCAAACATCCACACCACAGTTGATTTCTTTCAGTATGACCTGTCAGTCACTCATGTAGGCATTCATAATGGATTCTGGCATGCTTTACGTTGAAGCCGTTTATCTTAAAAGCTGACGAGAAAGACATCAGGGAAGATTTTTTTTTATGTAAAGAGAGATCATTTGAACAACGATGAGGGGATTCATGAATCACAGCACTGATGTGTGTCTGTTTATGTCTGCCTGCTGTATGTTTGCTGTGTAATCCGCATGGAATCGAGATTTTCAACAGAGGATATTTTCATCCAGGATGATCTGATTTTAATGAAAGCTTCTGTCAGTCACAGGGCTAACCGGTGTAATTTGTTGTATATACTGTGGCATGAGGGAAAATTGCAAGCAAACAGGCCTGTAATGTTCAGGTGAGACCAGTCGTTTTGGAAACAGACACATATATATATAAACTAACAGCATGAAAAAGTGTATGTCTAGAGTGAGAGTCGTTCTTGATCCTTTTCTTCAGACGCGTACTTCTTATTTAGAGTGATTTAACATCTCTTTCACACACAGTTTAGTTCCAGCTACACATGTTTAGCGCAAAAGTATACCTTACTATGCAATTCAAACAAAGTGTCACCAGCCACATCACAAAAAGTCTAATATTTGCTCACAAAATCAGCTCACCACTTCAACTATAGCCAGGCGTTTCTCCTTTGAACGCGGCCTGTGTGACAGCTCAGCTGACCAGACAGGAGCCGGACCAGCTGGCTCACGTGACCGTCGTTGACCGTGTTATTTACATTGGGCTCATGGCGAGCTGTTTGCTGAGAGGGATAATTTGACAGTCACATAAACAGACAGACAGACAGACAGACGGATAAACAGAGTGTTGGCTACTGACAGAGATCTCACTGTCAGTCTCACTGCCACTCTGTTCCCTCTCTCAAGCCCAACAGCCATGGGGCAATATTTGAGCAGACAGTCACCAAGTCTTCCAAATATTGAACAACATGCACTAGCAGTTTTTTTTCCAAGTGATTTTTGGACTCGCTGTATCTGTTTTCTTCTTTTTCTTCTTATGCTGCAGCGTTGGCAGGAAATGCTCGGCTTGAACGAGTGTCTCTTCATTTAATTTATTTTCCCCTCTTCTCTCTTTTTCTAGATTTATGTCTCCATACTGTGAAGAGTTTGTCAGGTTGAACTTGATATTTCATTTATAGTCATATTTAATGTTTATTACCTCTGTCACTGTGTCACAACAAGCAGACTGGACGTGCTTTTAGCAGAAGAAGGGGTGAAGGTTGATCATCAGAAAATACAACCAAAGCACACGGGGCAGGATCAGCAAAGGTAATAGACTCACTACTGGGTCAAGGGAGTCACGTAAACTGACTAAGCACACGTTTTTTTTAAAAGTTGCTTTAATGCTTTGGTGCAATTGGAGTATTTGTGTCATAGTTATCTCTTTGACTTATCTTTTTTTCTGTTTTAATTGAGGTATGGTTTAATTTATTGACAGAAGCTGTTAAAGGTTTACTAGCAATAAAAAAGGGGCAACATTTTTGCATGTTTTGGTAACACTTTACTTGACGCCTATCTCCATAACGCATTATAAATATATGTATAATGCATTGTAATCATGTTATAGCACTGTATAACTATAGTTATAAACACTCATAAATGATCATAATGCTTTATATGTCCAGACATTATAAAGCATTTTATCATGACTTAAAGGGTTGGGTATTATAATGTGTTATAACTGTTAAAAACTCACTGACAATGCCCACATAGATAATGCATTATACATATATTTATAATGTGTTATAATTTGCTTATAAACTTGTATAACGATCATTATAAACACTAATTAATTATCATAAGGCTTTATAACAATAAACATAACACATTATAATACCTGACTGATTATTGCTATAAAGCATTATGATCATTAACGAGTGTTTATAACTATAGTTATGCAGTGCTATAATGTGATTATAACGCATTATACATATATTTATTACGGTTATAGAGATAGGCGTCAAGTAAAGTGTCATCCACCTTGATATACTTAACTTTAAGTCTGTTGTTTTTCCAAGTAAATTCTATTAAAGCTATCGCCACTCTGATACATGTCTTACAGCATTCCTAGTGTCTGCTTTGTGTAGGCGTGACAGTTTTTGTGTTATCAGATGGTGTAAGTGCTTGTCTTTTTGTCTGTATGTGTGTGGAAATGAGCGCTTATTGTGTGTCCTCGTATGTGTGCACTTACATGTGTGTTCCACGCCTGCTGCATACTCTGACGTTGTCACACCTCTCTTGGTGTCCTGCTGTGTTTCCCGCGGCGTCCTGAGGTCCTGGATGCTGTCTCAGTATCGCTGCTGAGGATGGTGGGCGTCTGGCACAGATAACACTCTGATAGCTCCATGATGGACAGCCGGGAAACTTTTTTCCTTCGCTCTCCTTCCTCCCTCCTCCTCCCCACTGAACGATATGACAACCTGCTGTAAATGCAGCTCAGAGGTATATGTGTGTCTGCATGTGTGGATGCATTTGTGCATTTGATTGGATGGGGGTTGGGCATATGAAAGCTATGTTATGAATCATAATCTTTGTCTTGATAAATCCTGGAAGAAAAAAGAAGAAAAAAGTCTCCCTGAAACTCAGAGCAGCAGGAAAAAGAAAAACAACCAGAAAACAAGGAAAGTTAATAAGAAATGTGAATTAATTTCCCTTTTTATTCCTCTTTCTTTTCCCTTTGTATTAACAGTTTTCATCTCCTCTCAATTAAATAACAACCCCTTATGCTGCCTCCTAAGTTGCTCCTTAGTTTCCACTGGCTGTTTGGTTATTCACAAATGTCATTGGCATTCTTTTATCCTCTCCTTATGGTGGCCTGTGGGGGAAAGGCTAATATCTTGTGTGTCAATTCACAGCATGAAACTTTTAGATCTATATAAGGTTACTCATTGCAGAACTTATTTTCTAAGAGAGAAAAGAAATCCATTATTTATGAACATATTCCCAGTCCATGGCTAATTGTTTATTTTCTTCACAATTGCTTTGATGTAACCAGCAAGACACTTACAGAAGTCTGTCGAAAAGCTGAATATTTTCCATTACACCCCTTTAATATATAATTATTAGTGTCATTGCACTAAAGTTTATTTTGGTTCAGAGTTTCCCACATTTAGAATTGAGTAAATATTTTAGATTTTGTCATGTCCAGCTCCAACATGTGCCAGCGTGACTTCTTATGACGCATTTTTACGTTTTCTTTTGTCTCCTTTTTAACTGCAGCCATTCACTTCCTTTGGTTGTGCTTGTGAAACTCTCGCTCAGTAAGATAAACTGCTGTTTAAGTAAGCTGGGCACAAGATGCCGTGTTCTTCTCAGGGTTTTCTGTAATTAAACATGCTGCGCATTCCTCAGTTAACGTTACATCTCAAGCTGCCCGATCAGCACTCCACAGTATTTAGAGAAGTAAAGAGCAGGAGACGCCCAAGCCGCAGCAGATATCAAACAGTCTCAAAATCGGTTTAAAGTACAACAGTGAAACTGGAACCTATGATTAAATTAGGGAAACATAAAACATGAAAGATGGATGGATGTATACACACCCTGACAGGGCAAAACCTCTTTACAATATACCCAGAGTTAGTGAAAGTCGAGTCATCTTGGTGTGGTTGTTCTGCGGTTTGTTGTAGTTTTAAATCACTCTACGCAGCCATTGGGGTAATTATATATCACCTGGTTGTCTGTTTACTTAGTCTACTGCTTTATAACACTAAATCTAGGGTATACCTCAAATTTTGATGGAAGTGAATGGAAATGCTCGCCATGTTGAATTAACTCATAAAACCTTGATTTGAATTTTATGATGAAACTTATTTGCAACATCTTTGGTTTGACTTTCCTCAATTTTTTTTTTTATTTCTATATGTTCATGTGTGATTTTTATGATATGTATAAACTGCACAGCCAAACAACACTGCTTATATTTAAGAGGGCTAGTCAAGGATAGCTGGTGAAACAAAAGGTGCTGATCTGGGTTTTCCATGCAGCTAATGGATATAATCCAAAGAGAATAACAATTTATCACTATTGGCTCAAAAAGTAAGTATGCAAAGCCTCTGTGACTTCACTCACTGGTTTCTAAAGGAGTGTTTTGAAGCCCAGTGTTAGAGGCTGCCCTATTGAAAATACTTAACTTGGTGGTAGTGAGGCAATCTCAAGGATAGAGTGGCCATACGTCCGGATTTAGTTCGGTCAGTCTGGAATTAAAATGCCCAGTGCAGCCTAAAGCTGGACAGTTATTTGTCTTTTTGGAGCTTCACCTGAACGCAATTCTGTATGTCGTCCAATGGTGTAAGACTTTGGGTTAAAAAATAAAGATTGGTTAAAAATGATTGCCTAAAAGCATTGTCACTCAATTCTCTGATTTCTCATTGGTTGATAAATGTAAACAAGCCGCCCCCTGTTCCTATGTGCTAGCTGTGTCTTTCATATAGGTAACTGCTGAAAAGACAGACCTCATTCAATGCAAAGATGATTTGCATGCATATTGCACACTTCGTCGCTGTGATGTGGACGTTATCACACAAGGAAAGGCGGCCATTGAAAGGCATGCTAGTTTGTTAGTTTAAATGTGCTAATTTGCAGATTTAAGGTCATAAATGTTCTGCTTTGTGGCACTGCACTTTGCAAGACAGATGTATTGAATAAATATGAATACTGTGAACAACAAGTTGTATGTTGTGATTTTTCTTTCCTCTCTAAATGCCGCAAAATGTCCTCCTTTTTAGTGTTGTGGAAATTACCACCCTACTCCAGGCTAGGAGCTAAAACTCGCCACTTGTTCTCGGCTGTGCCCTTAATAGTCTTCTTAGAGGATGAGCTATAAAACAGTCACCCTATACGTCATGTACAAGTGAAGGAATGAGCTTCCGTGACCAAAACTGGTCTTTGGACCATGCTGCTGGGAACTGCAGCGTTTGGCATTTCCAGGTTTACTTCAGTTTTTGTTGTTGTTGTTGACTTGCAGGTTGCTGTTCCTTAAACAGAAGTCTCTTTACGTAATGTCTTCTGCCTTTTTTTTTAATAAATATGCTGTATTTTTTCATTGTTGTGAAAGTAAATGGTAACCTTGCTGCGTTTAGTGAGGATAAAAACATAAAACTGTTTTCAAAAGTCTGTTTGTGGCGCAGTTAAGTTTAACTTTTACAACTTTTTTTTAGTTTTTAAGTTCCTGTGGAGTTTTAATCTGCTAAAACCGACTGAAAATGATACTGATTATTCTTTGTACTCAGAAAGTAAACCAGAGAGGACCAAATCAAATTATTTCAAAGTCTTTAACTTCTGCCACTGAGTTAGTGTCAGGCATGGCGGTCAACGGCACACTGTTTGTTACATTTTTAAGACAACAGGAGGATTTTTCATCATGAAACATGATTTTTTTTGTACATGCACACACTTCTGTTAGGTGCTTTGCATCATTCTTTCAGTCTTACGAAGAAAGTTCTGTCCACACCTTAATGCGAACTGCCCAAGCTACCCATCGCTATGTTCTTTATCCAATCTCTCAGGTGTGAGCAGCTCTACACCAGGCAGCTCCACCTGTCTAGACTTAACGTTCCCAGCTGGCGAGCTATAGGAGAACGGCCCTCTCGCTCAGGCTTTACACAGAGCCATGTCGTTCAAATGCCAGGGTGCCCAGTGGCGGGATCTGCAGCTCTGTTCTGGATATCAGCTTTCATAGGATCAAAGCACTGGCAGCGATATCCTCCCCCTCATCAGCCGAGCAGCAGCGCACACACCCGAGGGATATGATCGGCGGAGGGGTAGGAGGGGAGAGAAAAGAGGGAGAGAAGGAGAGACAGATATCCCGAGAAGAGAGAGAGAGGGAGAGGGTGTGAAGGAGACTGGTGGATTGGGGGAGGGTTTAAGGGAGATGAGAGCTGGGGTTAAGGGCCTGCAGGGCTGGGAGGACGGGAGTGGGTGAGAGAGGGTGGGAGGATGGAGGAGGAGGAGAGGGTTGTTAGAGATGTTTGAAGACAGAGGGGGAGGTGCTGATGGAAGACGGTGCAAGGTGGGGGGGTTGGGATGCGAAGGCCGGGTGATATGTGTGTAAACAAGCTAGATACAGCAGTCTCTTCAACATTTAGGGCCAGGGTCTCTAGATGGAGCCCTAACAGCTGAGTTTCCCCCAGCACAACCACATCTGTGCACCCCCCAACTCTCCCCACTCTTTGCCTCACCTACCCTCACCACCCTTTACGCCCATGAGTCTATTTACTCACCCGCTTGTTTGCCGAGAGCGACAGCACACCACCCCTCCTCCTCCACCTCCACCCAGACACCCTCCACCTCAGCCTCCTCATCCCATCCCCCCCTATCATCTTCCTTAGAGATATGAGGGAGCGAGGTGCAACACTTTCCCTCTTCCTGCTCTCCTCCCTCTCTCCAGGCGCTTTTTGATTTCTCCTCTCACCTCCTCTTCTTCTCTTCCTCTTTCATATCCCAGAGTGCTTCTTTTCTTCTGTTCCGTCTCTTCCGACCGCGAGTTCTCCTCAAGGTATCAGTGTGTGGTACAGAGTTGTGGCGGAGTCTTTTCTTAAAAGTGCTAGCTCATTAAGGAGTGAGAGTGTTTGGATATGCGTAGTTTGTATTTTTAGTGTGTTTGTTTGTGCCGCTGTGCCGGGGCTGTGTTCTCGGCTCACCATGTGTGTGTGTGTGAGCGTGTGTGGCATGTATGCATGTCTGGTGTAAAGCAGAGGTAGGAACACTGCTGAGTCTGATTCTTTCTGTTCCACTGTGGCATTTGGGAAGCACAAACTTTATTCCTGTATAGCGATAACATCTGTTTACAGTGTTGAACATCGCGAACAGCGTGCAAGCGAGGAGAAACAACAAGATGTTTAAAAACCTTACTGCATAATGTAAAGGATGTGCTGGTATACAGCGGGTGGTGTGGATTCAAACTTTTGTTGTAAACCCACTTTCTTATAATAGCTACAGACAAAAGTGACAGAATAGACATGTGTGTGTGTGTTTTTTGTGTGTTTTTTTTTAAAGAAAGTGGTGACCTCAATAAAATAATAATAAAAAAAAAACTCAATTTCAGCGGCTCCAACTAGTTAGTAAGAGATATATGTTATGAGTTTGTCTGATCTGTGCTACAGTAGAAACATGGTGATGTACAATGGCAGCCTTTCAGAGGAGGCCTCGCTAATATGTCAATGTTAAAGTTTCATTAAACACAAATTTAAATGTATTTCAGATGATAACATTTCATTTCTACCAAGCACCTTTGAGCAAAGTGTAGTTGAACCATAGCTGAGTACCTTTTGGCAGCAGAAAAGACATTTAGAGGAGAGGTCCCCAACAAGTCCGTGGATCAATTAGTACTGGGCCGCAAAAAAAATAACGATGATTATTATTATTTTTTTTTTTTCATCCGTCCTCCCAGTATCTTATTTTGAAAGACCACCACTTCTGCCATCGCCTCACTTTCACGCTTGACTCTTCGGCACGTCATTTTCCTGCATCAGCAACACAAGCTAGCCTTTGCAAAAATGAGCCAGAAACAGAGTTCACTGGAGAGAGAAAGGGTTGATTCTGCATTATGGTGAGTTGATGTTCAAGTGTAATGAAAAGTGCTGAATATAAAATGTAATTGTTGTATCCAGATGACATGCTATGTATATACTATGTCCTAGGTCCTTGGAAAAAGTTTCCTGCATGAAGCTGGTCTCTGGTACAAAAATGGTTGGGGACCACTGATTTAGAGGAAACTCTTAAAATTGCCCATTTAAGGTAATTTCCCCATTTTCCGTACTGCAATGTTAATCAAATAAACAATAATTGAATAAATTCGTCATTTCATTTGTTTATTTTATTCCAATTTTTTGAACAGTGACCAGAAATTAAAATTATGTCTTCTGAAACAGCACCGCACTGGAATTACTGTTGCCAACTGAACTCCTTGTTATTTACCGGTCAAAGTATTTGGAAAAATTGCTGCATAGTACTTACTTAACAAAAACAACAAGTGCAGACAACAACAGAGCTACTTTGGCAACTATGATCAGTCTTGCTACTGGTGACAGTTCCACGACCCTGGGCACCACTGTCGCCACTTGCTGCAGTAAACCTGGACCTGGTGAATCTGGTGAGCTGTATGTGTGAGGGGACTGGCTCTGGTCTTACTTGGGCTATCAGTGTTATAATGATTTTGTGACATGAGTCCTGAACTTAGACGAACAGATCCACTGCTTTAAAGGGCCCGACTCAATATAGAATCTTTCGTTTCCACACTGTTTTTGGTGTTCGCTATGTGCTGCCTGACAGAGATCACTTTGTTAGTTTTTTTAGGCATTCAAAACAGAACTTGTGTTTGAAATGAAGTGTCAGGAAAGGGACAGTGACAGTCAACATCTGAGCAGCTGAGAGAAAAAGAGCAGAAGCTGTGGTCAGCTGTTTTAGTATACCTCGATTAAAAACAAGTTTTCTAAGTAATGCTCTGCTTTTGTCTTTAAGTGATGTGTTGTCCTTTAAAAACTGTGCAATAGAAAAAGACAGATGTTAGCTGTGTGCCTGTCATTTTGATTTTGTCTGCTCTGAAAAAGCTATTGTTCATGTCGTAATCTGAAATGTCACTGACGGTACAAACTGTCTGCAGTAGTGAAAGCAGAATGTTTTTCACTACAAACCTGTTTTGCCGACTGTATGTGAGTACATGTGACATGGGAGGTCACTGTGCACACCAGAGAACAGGGCGCTGTGTAAATTTAATGCCAGATGCAGCTAATCGGTGTGCAACAGCATCAGCAGAGCAATACTGGAGAGTGTGAATCACCACAGACCAGAGGATGAAACTTCATTATAGAAATAAAGGCTCCTTCGGTGAGTTTTTTGACATAAAAAAAACTGACAGAAACTCACATTGGTGACTTTTCATGTTATTCAAAGTAAGCAAGTCCATCAGCGACAACAATGACCATTTGTTTGGGGTCATATTTTATGCGTAAATTTAGTTTAAGGGGGTAGGTGTTAGCCAAAATGCTGCAGAGGTCTTTTTTTTTTTTTTTACATTAATTTTAACTAATCATGGTTTTTGGAAATGACCTGATTGACAGCACAGACTTTCATTAAGTATAGACATACAATATATCTCTAAAAACTTCATAACAGATTCTTAAAGAGGCCATAAATATACGACTGTAGTTATTTAAATATGTGTCACAAATGATAGGGCAGCTTTTTATGTTTCTGTATATTTACTCTTGTGGCCTTCACTCTTGTTCTATTTTACAGCTTGTCACCTATCAAGTTTGTCATCTCGTCCCGGTTGTCGCTCTCTAGTTTGCATGCTGTACTGTGTGCCTTCTACATAATACCACACAATGATGTTGGGAGGTATTTCTGTGTCATGGCGTCATCCACACAGACAGGGACACTTGAACAGCAGCGGCTTATGTGCATGCTATGAAGACCTTGCCTTTTAGAGAGCCATGTTTGCTACTGGTTCAGATAACAAAACAAAGTCAAGTGTCAAGGTCAGAGAGAGTTGAAAATTATTCCTCAAAGGAAGAAAATCAGTGCTGTTGAAATGTATGGAAGTTATCACGCGGGAAAGTGACGTCATGGCCCTCTATGATTTCAAAATAAAATAACCACATAATAGTATATTTACATGTTAGGCCCAAACTCTCGATGTGCGAGTATTGTACGGGCCTCTGTAAATAACCCCTGGCTCTGTCGGGTTCCGGCTGGCGACCATACATTAGCAAGGTGACTCAAAATGGATATATCTGTGTACCCAGTTGCCGTCACCTTATCTGCTGACAACAGATCGCATTACACACACTCACACGCACACACCAGAACACATACATGAACACAAACCAGGAAGCTTAGCTGCCCCAGCTCGGCTCGGCACCCCAGCAACAGGCTGGCAGCGCCTTGTCCTGAGGTCTGTCCCAGTGTGTATATGTGTGTGTGTGTCTGTGTGTGTGTGTAATTCTGCCATGAATATTTCAGCCTTGACCCAGTTCGCCAATGCTAGGGATGTCCTGTGTTCAGCGGACGAGACGTGGTGTCATATATTCCTGGTGGTTAACTGACTCACTGTGTGCACTGTGACATTTCAGCCCACTTCCACTTAATTCATATGCAATCAGGATTACACTGCTTGTCAACCAATGCTGAGCAGGCCCTGTTCAGTGATGGATAGTAATTATGGGTAAAATGACTTCAATTACAGTCGTACTCTACACTGTAAAGACTTGATTCTTTGAGTTGAAAAACACAAATCTGCTTCCAAAAGACCTTTCGACTTCTCAGAGCTCCGGGGGCAATATATGCACACATTCTTTAACTTGTGTAAACACACACACAAGCAAACAAACAGGGTACAATAAGACGCCTTAAGGTGTATCCTGTATGTGCAGAGTCTTCCTGGAAAGAGGAAGGTAGCAGTAGCTGGCAGGCTCACTGCTCCGGATCGATACAGGTCTGCTTTTACTGCTGTTTGTGGACGCCTCCTCTCCACTGTGTTATTTTATCCTTCACTGAGCTCTGTTCATTTGTTGTTCATTTGCTCTGCTGTGTTGGTTCAATAAATCTTATATCATCTTTGTTTCCCCCCTCCCATTACAAATAGCCGGCTCTCCTCTCTGCCAGGTTCCTCTGCAGTATGTCGACTCTCGTCCTCTCTGGTTATTGTCTTTTCCAGCGTTATCCGGCAGGCCCATCTGTGAGCCGGAGGAGCAGATTTGATGGGAACATGTGATCTACAAAGAAAATCTAATTTACATACACGCATTACACATGCTGCGTGCTTTGAAACAATACAAGTCTGCACACAAATGCGCAGATAAACACATCAAAACCCCCTTCCCCCCAAACCTGCACACACAAAGACAAACACATACACACATGCTATAGTTGACCTGCCATAAGCTCCATTTAGGTCACAGTCTGCTCGGCCACAGGTGGTCTTCCTGTCACGTCCATTGGACCATGACTGTGAAGGATTAGTTGGGAAAGGTACAGAACCACAAAACACAGTTTATACTAGACAGGAGGAGACTGAGAAGCTCGAGTTTCAATGAAAACAAGAAGAACAGTGTTCTAATGTGAGACTACGCTGTAAATTGAAAATGGAGAAAAAGAAAAGGAGTCTGGGTTTCTCCATCCATCAGACTCTGGTAACAGAGGACGCCGGCCATGCCAGGGAAGCTGTCACTGCTCTCACGGCTGACAACCACAGTGCCACCCGCCTTTATTTGTTTTTTATCCCCCTGCTTCCTCGTCATGGCAACCTGCTATGTTTCCTCACCATCCTTCTCCCCAGTCTCTCTCTCTCCACCTCATCGACTCGTTTTTTTCTCCAAAGTAAAGTGATTCTCCAGGTGGAGGTTGGCCATTTTGGAGATTTGCGGACTGGCACTTGACTGGTGCGCGGTTTCTTCCCCCCCCCACCCTGAACCCATGCTCACCCCAGGGATGGGGGGCCCACGGGTGCGCTTGAAGCTCAGCGTGGCGGATGTCCAGTGTCTACTCATCGAGTGAGACCACTCAGCCACGCTTGGCGCTTCCAGCTCCACACAAAGGCTGCCATGTCCTGTAAATACTGTCAGAAGCAGTTAGGAGTTACACTGATGGCTGATTAATTCATGCAGGTCATTTCCCTCCAAATTTGGGTGCAAACCAGAATTGCCTATGGAAAGAAAGTTATACGACTTTATTCACCGGCATTCAGCAAATTTTATCCAGTTGGACTTTGATTGCTTGTGGTGTGTGGCCATGAATTTGCAGCACCTGACAGATTGATTTACCACCCATACATCAATACAACACTGACAATTCAATCAGTCTGTGTTCTGTTACACGCTCTCTGCACGGTTGTGTTACTGTGCATGAGTGTGTCTTTGTATGTACCTGTGGAGGCGCGTGTGTTGTAAAACAGAAGATCACCTTGACTGTGGCCAGTCACAGAGAGCCGTGGGCGCTGAAACCGGGAAGGCGGGGTTGAACCGGCTCCCAGAAGGCCGTTCTGTTCAGCGCAGCCGTCTACATCCACCCCTTTAGACTTCCTTCCTCTTTCCCTGCACACACACACACACACTCACACACCCATCTCACACACACCCCTCCAGCTGGGAGGTCCCAGGAGGTAGTGAGGCTCACTGACTGATTAGGTCCCAGGTAAAGCACTGCCCGGGAGCCTGCTGTAAAGCCAAAGTCAATGACGACACTTACTCTCTCTATCACACACACACTTGCATGTCTACTGTACACCTCTCTCCAAGGTTTTTACAGCACACACACACACACACACACACACACACACACACACACACACAGAGGAGCACAGACGTACACACGCCCACTGTCTCAATCAGACAGCTGCTCATGCAGTCTGCTCACCACTGGGATTTCCCTGTATTGTATATGATATAATGATATTATTCCCTCTATTTGCTGGGTAGTTAGGCACCATGCCAGGCAGCTCACTTATGAAATTGGGCTAAAAGCACGATGTTATTTCAGGATACGAAACAGCTTTGGAGTGCAACTGATAGAAAAAAATCTTTTTTGTTTCTGTTCCTCGTTTAATTGCCTCCTCTTCAGGCCTCTTTTATCTTATTTACTTTTCTCTCTCTCTTTCTCTTTCTTCCTGGTGTCCTCGCCTCTAAACGTTCTTTACAATAGTCTCGCCTTTAACAATAGCTTTCATAGCACTGTGCCCACATTTATAAACCATGCACCGCAGTGCAAATCAGGAAGCCACTGGACAATGGCGGTGGCGGCCCCCTCCAATCCACATGCAGTAAAACGATAGCAGCCTCTGATTCTATTCTCTGCTCTCTGCCATTTTACAGTCTGTCAGCCTGTTAGGAGCTCTGTAGTGCCAAGCTCAGACCGGAACCCTCCAATGCTATTTCCAGCCCTTTTCTGAAAACCCGCTATTGTGGAGGTATAATTACAGGCCTATACGCTGTGCTTAATTCTCAAACAATAGGGTATACTTTTATACAAGGACATGAAATTACTCTCCATTCAGAACAAGCCTGACTAGACAACAGAGCTCTTCATGTTCAGAAGACGTTTATGCTGCCGTTACGATGCCGAGCAAAAGCCAGACAGAGAGGCAGTTTCTGTTGTTCTCTCTCATTACTTCAATGTTGCCTTAACACTATCTATCCATCTGCCCACCTTCTCCATCTATCTGTTTCCTCAACACTATGTTTATTGTTTTCTCTTCACAAAAGGACAGGCACCGATACTAACAGTGGTTTTCACGGACGCCCCACACCTTCACAGCTGCACAGGTGGAGAAAGTGAAGGAGAAGAAGAAAATAAATAAATGAAATAAATTGAATTTAGAATTTTTAAATCTTTCTTCTTAATTTTGTGTCCTTTACTTACCTCATCCATCTATTCATGCATGAGGAGACTATACTTTTTATGTGTTTTGTGTATTTAAATCCACTCTCTGTCATTCATTGAACGAGCTGATGAGGTTCTCTAATTAATGAGTTACCATGGGCAACTGTTACTGTAGTTCATCTTCTCTTCACATTCAGACTTTTCCTCCCTCCGTCCTCTGTTTTTCTTTTTTTTTTCCTCCTCCTGTTGTTCCTCAGTGTCCGTGGTTCTGTTTCTGACAGTGATGCTGCTGTTCCTCTTTTCTCTGCTGGCCTCCTTCTCCTCTGACAGGCACCCACCTCCTGACTCCTAATTGGTGGAAACGCCAGCAGCATCTGGTTCTGCTGAGCGTCTTTCTCGACGACGGCGGTTATCCAGCCGTTTGACAGCTGGGTTGCCATAACGTCATCACCTTGGCGACAGACCGGACTCTGGCGCTGTTGTTGAGTACCTGCCACTCAGCATTACCAGCCGGGCTCGCAGAAGAGACGGGGCATTTCGTGATTCGAGAAATGAGGCAGTTTTCAGAGTCAAATTTGATAATAAGCTTATTCCAGCCCGCACCGCGACACGACAAACACAGAAAACAGGCCTTCCAGCTCTCCATGACTAACCCCAGCCTGTGGGAATGCACTAATATTTTAGTGGAGGAATTATATGGCCTGTTAACTTTAAAAGATTCTGTCGACAGCGCATAGTGTCAGGATGCCATTTCTCATAATGCCGTTTCTTTTCTCTGCTTTGCACTGCAGGATTCCAGCGTTACCAACCAAAAGCAGGGAATGAAGAGACCTTGTTGGCCTTGAGGAGAGAACTGAGGAGAATTAAGTCTTTGGGAATTCTCTCTTTTTCCCTCGTCTCGCTTTCAAACCCCTACACTCCAGTCCGCTTCTCTTGTCTCTGCTCTCTTTATTCCCCTGTGGCCACATGCATGGTATTCCAGGAATACTCCAGCTCCATGCTCGTTTGTGTCGGCCTTTAGAGCAAGATACCGCTGCAGCTGATGTAGTCGTTTTTATCTTGATATATGTGTTTTTTTCTGAGACAAAATATCTAACACTTTTTTTTGTTGTTTTGAGGATTGAATTACAAGTAAAATTCATGTCTGTGAGGATAATAAGCCAGCTGTCTCAGTGATTATCACTTTGTGGAAAATAAAAGCCATAAATGTTTTTATTTATGAGATGTTTCCTCACTTTGGCTAGCTTGTCTCATCATTAAATGTTCAATTTAAAAAGGATATTGAGTCTCCAGAAGAACATGAACAGGTTATTTTATTTATTTATTTGGATCCCCATTAGCTACTACCTAAGTAGCTGCTAATCTCCCTTGGGTCCGCAAGAAGACAGTAAACATTTGTATAGATTGAAATGATAAAAGGCCAAACAGGAGAATTATACAAGATGTTAGAACCATAACTACAACAAGAATTATGATGTTATTATACACAAATAAAGGCCAAGATAAATAAACTATTAATCAAAATCTCATTGGCATGTATTGTATGTTGTCACAGCCTAGTCTAGGTCTTCTGTTTCTTATTTCAGTGAGTCTGGGTCATTCGATATTGGTACACCTTCTATTTAAACACATCTTCACTGGTTAACCTTGTAATGACTATTAAAGAAGCCACTTGGCTTAAGTTATACATCCAAATTGATTGCACTTTTTTTTCTCTCGCCTGTATGAAACAAAAACTAAGTCAGACTTTCCTCAGAATTGTCAGAAGTTGCGAAAAACACACACACAAGCGCACAGAAGCAAAAAAGTAAACATCTTGGTTCCTGCAAGGTGGCACTCAGTTCCACACATCACATCATATTTGCTGCTATTTCATATCCATGCATGAGCAAACACAGAGGTGGCCATACAGGAGAGGAGCAAACAGCATGAGGGCACCGTGTTCAAACTGTGGTGACCAGTGGCTCCTGCCTGTCCGTGGCCTCGCAGCATTGCCTCAGCCTCGGTGGCTCAATGCAGGTATTCACAAACTGGATTCCAGTGGCCACTAAAATATCTAAACCCAAACGGACACGGTGACTCTTCTGGGTAAACACTCAACCCCGTGCCAAAGTCTCATTTTCTGCTGCTCTCTGGCTTTGTTTCTCTCCGCAGATTTCACCAGCCTAAAAATGAAAATGAGCACGCTGTTTAACAGACCTCACAACTCACATCCTGGAATTAAAAGGCTCCCAGTCAGTAATAAATGTGAATGCTGCGTTGGCACTATTTCTCTCCAAGAAAAGGAACTAATGATGATTTGGGGGGAGGTTTATTTCAGATCTACATTTCGAAAAAGATTGATTGAATGACATTACAATGTGAAAAAGAATAAACATGTAAAGCAATGGAGAGTAATTTCCTATCCTTGATTGATAAATTGTGTAATTATTGTTCTAGGTTTAGTGTCTCACCTGAGCAGCCGGGGAGGCTGGGGGAGACTTGATGATTTGGCATATTCTTGGTCGAATCATACGGCAAACATGGGGATACAAAAGAGGCAGACGGCTCCTGAGAGAACAAACCGCACCAACAAGAGAGAAATCAAACCCAAACACAGACAGGCCTTTCTCCGAGTACGCCTTGGCTGGGATTGTCTGTGCTTGTTGTTTACTTTGCTGTTTGAGTGCAATCCAGACTGGGAGAGCGACGAGCGCAAGTTATAAGTCTCGAGGAGTCTTTGAACGAAAACAGAGTTGGTTTTTAATGCTGATCTGGTGTGCTCTTGTAACTGCCAGACTTACCGAGACCATGTCTCAGTCAGTCACAATAACCCCCCTCCTTAACACGATTATTGATCTGAATCTTTCCAATTCAGCTGCTTCTGTGCTTGGTCTTCACTGGCTTTCCTTCTTTGTCCTTCGAGGTTAGAAATTATTGGGATTATTTGACAGTAGACCAAAGCACCAACATTTCATACTTTTCATCCTGAGGATGTGCTCTGAAACTTTTTGTTCAAAGTGCACTTGTATAAGGTGACCATACGTTTTCTTTTACCCGGACATGTCCTCTTTTTTAGCTGTCCAGTCTTGCCCCGCTTTGTCCAGGGAAGGTTATAACATCCTTCAAATGTCCAGGAAGTTTTCGAGTTTGTGTCGCGTGGACTTACAAGCGTGTAAAAGACACTCGATCGGACCAAAAAAACTCTCAAAATTAACTACGTGCGACTGCGTGACTCCGCCCTTGTGTAGTCGATTCCTTTTTTGGGGAATCAGAATATGGTCACCCTAACTTTGTATCTTTAAATTATATTTGAGTAACAGGGAAAAGCCGCCATTTTTTTTCACTTAGCTTTGTCTTTTACACTTAACAATCAATAGAGGAAACAATTCACACATAACAAAGAAGGTGATATTTGCTGCAGCCTTAAATTTGGTCCCAGCTCCTGTCAATATAATAAACAGATCCGAATTCGAGGCATTCATCATAAACCTCTTCGTTGATGATAACATAAAGAAGAGAAATAGATCCAAACAGGAAAATGTTTGATGCTCTTTGCTGTTTTATTAAAAAATCATAAAATGTAGTCCTTCTGTTTTTCCAAAATGGCATAAACAGACAAAAAAGAGTTTCAGTAGTTGCACTGCGTCAAATACAGAGTTTTCCACTCAAATCCAGCAAATGCGATTAATCATATTTTATAGCTGGGGTCATTGAGACCAAACCTAGAGGTCAATATTGTGTTTCTTGATAAAAAATTAAGATAACTTATTAAAAGTACGATTTTGGTTTGAACAATTTTCACTGGATTTTGATTCTCCACACGTCTGAACTGTGACTTTGTATAAACATTCTTGCCTTCAGAACGTCATGTGAATTAACCTGATATTAAACAAATACTTCTCATTAACCTCTCGGCTTGATTAATGGGCTATGACATAAGTAGGAAGTGGTGTATTTTTACAGGAACCCTCAGCATCGTCTGGCTACAGCAAGCAGTGGTCTACAGGCTTTCCACATTTATCGAGCATAATTGCCGCTTAAAGTCTTAAATTATTTATTATTGTGAGATCTGACAGTGCTGCTCAGAAGCAAATTGGGATCATCTTCCATGACCACCAAGGATTTGCAGATTGGAGGCAGAACTAAGTTTATTTCCTCCGCTCTGCTTTTATCCCTGCAAACGAAGCGTTTAAAAGGATCACCCGCGACAGATAACCACGTTACTGTACAGACGAATAACGCCGCTGCTCTTAAGATCCTGATTTTGTCTGTGGATTTTTTTTCTCTCTCTCTTCCCTTCACCCCGGTCTAATTGTGCTGATGCTCTCCCTGTGGGTTTGAATGTTTGACACGGCGAAACGCTCTTAAATCCTCCACACTGCTCCCTCCCTTATGAGGCCCAGTATCTTAAAAGCAAAAAGGATGTATGTCTAATTCATAAATTTATCACTTCGCAAAATGATGCATTAAATGAGAGGGGACACGCTCTGATTTGAAATGCTGACTTTAGAAAAGAAGTTCCGATTTTCAAAATGAGTTTAGATGGGCTCCCCTCACCCCGCTGCTCGCCTCCCACGTCCTCTCTCTGCTTTCTCAGTAGTATCTCTCTCTCTCTCTCTCCTGGAGATGGGAGGCCATGGAGCTCTCTCTTTGTCTGCTTCTCTCTCTTCCCTTTACTTTCTTGTCTCTAACACAAACAAACAAATAACATACATTTTTATTTTAGACCTGGATCAATTTAGCGTGTGTTTGCACATGTATGTGTTTTTCCTGTCTGTTTATACGACTGCCTGCACATTCATGCTGATATACGACACTGTACTTACTTTCTCTGGTTTAGGATTACACTCACATGGTTGTCTCCGTGCAATTATCTTTGCTTTTGAGGACAAGTCGATAGAGATACTCCCTCTTTTCCTAAACCATGACTGATTTTTATTTCTCCAGTCCAGAGAAAGTGTGCACTAACATCAGTGTCTGCTTCAGGACAGTGTCACAAATTGAGATAAATAAATAAATAATGTGTTTTATCACTTTTAATTGCACTTTTAGTTCATGGAAAGCATCTGATCTAGTTACACATATGCCACTAGCTCAGAGAAAGGACATAATTAAGCTAATTTATCAGGTCATAATTGCGACTCTGACCATAACCAAGTCATGATTTTATTTGCATTTTATCTTTGCATTCTTAACTTTATTTTCCAAACATTATGTCCTATATTTTTAAATTCGCCATAGAAAAAAAGCAGCTCTCTCGGGTATTCCAAGCTCCCCAGAGACGTTTTTGTTGAACACACTTCTAACAGCTTTTGAACGCAGCTCAACTGGCTGTGAGGCACCGTGGGCTTCCTCTCGACAGGTCAACCTGCCAAGAATCGAGTTTAAAGAGGAAAAAAAAAAAGAGAACCTGTGTAAAAAGAGTAAAATGTAAATGTCTGCCTAAGACGCGGTGATCCCCTGGAGATGTGTCGAAACAAGGGCGAGGACTTAAACTGATGACAACTCCGTCCACACGGCCGAGTACACCGTGGAGGAAAAGCAAAGTAAGGTTGGTTTAAAGAGCTGCTCTTTGACAGTGTTAATGACAGCGTTAGATTAGTGGTGAAATCATGAGGGGGGAAAGAGTCCAAGTTACACTTTGTGCTCTCAGGGTGGGCGTTATGTTTGGGGCGAAAGAAATATGTATAAACACGTTAACGTATCCCAGGTCCTTTTTTGATTATATTAAATGAATGCTCCTTGTTTTCACCAACAAAAATAAAAAAGACTTTTAATAAGACTTTAAATAACTCATTGATCTATTTTTCCATTTTGCTCATAGACCTATGGAAGGTATTTGAGTATGTGCAACGCTTGAGTCACATTGTAAGCTAGCATGTTGTATTTGCTTTTCGTCAAAATTGCCTTTAAGTGTAAGACTCAAGATTGTTTACTTGATCAAATATTCATACAGTACAATTTTAGACAAGAAGTTCCCTATTTTTTGGAGATCGAAAAGGAGTAAGTTGGAGCTTTTTAGCTTATATGTACCTAAACCTCATTCCTTCCAATTCATTTACCCTTTAAATGTGTCTAAAATGTATCATTTCTGATGTTGCCAAAAAGTAACCAAAGCTCCAAAGTCCAACATGAATATGTAACTAATCATTAATACTGAAACAAAGACCTTATACTGTATATATAAATGTATACATCCATACCTATATACACTTATATAAACACAAATATGCACTTACTATATAGACCTAGAATACTTCAAATCTCTCATTTGTACCATACCCAGATACAATATAAGTGTGGCAAAACAAAAATCACTTTTGTAAGTATTTTTCAATCATATTCTGCTTTAATTTACTATTAAACTGTGCTACTGTTTTGCTTTGCTTAAGTTCATCAAGGTGTGGTACGAACGCCTGGTTATCTTAAATTTCATTCCCCTCTTACTACATACCTGCCATCTCTTCTACCGATTGAAAAAATTAGTTAAACAAAATCATCTAAAAAACCTTAATTCAGTTTCAAAAAAGCGCTCCCGTAACTGTGACACATCTATGACAACTCCGTTTTGTTTTTATATAGCAGTCATATAAGTCGTACATTCACAGAGTCTGCAGTCAGAAAACTCAGCCAAGATTCGTGTGTTTGTTGCTCTTTCTTTTTCGTATGGTATACGGTGTAGGCGAGCGGGTCTCATAAATGGTGTAAGGTGTCAAGTTACAGGCTGCCAGAGTTCTTTGGCTACTCACCAGACATAAAGCTGTAAATCAGAGAGTCAGCAGATTACTGAAGTGTGGCGCGTGGTTACAGGCTGGCTGCAGGTGTGTGTTCTCAAACACGAGACAGAAAGAGAGAGAAAGAGAGACAGAAAGAGAGAGAGAGAGAGAGGGATACGGAGGACGAGCCAAAGCAGAAGTGAGAGTGAATATGGTCAACATGGTCACTTCCCTCAACTCTCCAGGTGCATTTTGTGTTGTTTGGAGACAAAAACAGGTACCATCAGCTTCTCTGGTTTTCATTTTTTAAACACAAGTACATATTCAGACATTATTCCCCTTTAAAAAAAATGGTCGCTCTTGGGTTTGTGTAGTGTTTTAAATCAAAATGCACGGTCTATGTGTTTTTCTGCCTGCAGTATATGTGTGTGAAAGAGTCCCGGAGGGTACATCATGCTCCATGTGGCACAGTTTCATCCCTCATTGTATATGACTCAAATGCTGCTGTTCCTGTTCGTGTTTATGCACCCCTCCCTCTTGATCGAAACAAACACAGCCTCATTAGACCCCGGCACTCTCACACAGAAACACATGCATACATACAAAGAAACATACAGACAGCGTTCAAAAGAAAAAAAACAAAAAACAGAGGGATGACCTTTGGGTTTACAAGGTGAGATTTAAAAGACAGCAGACTTCTTCTCACAGTTAAAATCAAGGTCAGAGAGTTTAATTACAAACTCAAAGCATACAAAAGCAAACAAGTATAATTGCGGCGCGATAGAGAGTACTTACGGGTATGTCGAATGATAATTCAGTGCATCAACTCTCACTGTTGCTAACACGAATCCACACATCTTCAGGGAACGTACCTGTGCAAGAGATTAGCACATCGGCTCATATCTTATAGATTTGCAAGTATACAGGCAGCTGGTGTTTTCTCAACTTTATCAGAAGACAAGTGAAAAAATAAATCTACACCACCAGTCTCCATGAACCCACTGGGTATAAGGAACGGGTGGGGGAAGTTTGAAGAGACTGTAAAGGTGAACAGGTGAAAGAGAAAAGCAGACGAGTGTAGCTATGCCTGCCACCTCTCTGCCCTTCGCTGCTCCCCCCCATCCCTGCATCACCTCGCCTCAGGGGGTTGAACAACTGCTCTTGATGGGGGGGCAAGTGTTCTCTCTGTTCTTTCTCAGTGCCTCCGGGTGTACTACCGACTCTCACTACCCTGGCGATCTCCTGCCGCCTCAGACTTTCACACACACACACGGAAAAAAAAACACAAACACACGTACGAAACACACAAGCGCTGTGCAGCATCTGAACCCTCTTCACTCTCTGCTCTCTCTCATCTTCCTATGTGGGGCTCTTTGTAGCCGCTGCGCCTGAGCTTGGTGAGGAGAACAGGAGGAACAAAGTGAGAGAAGAAAGAAGGATGGAGAATAAAAGGACTGAGGTGGTGCTGGAGGAAGTGGAGATGGGAGGGGATGAATGAGAAAGAGAGGAAAGGAGGAAAGGAGCTAATGCTCAAATCACATTGAGAATGTCGCCTGTTGTTGCTTGCAGACCGATGTTCTGTGAGCGTTTGTGTGCCACAGCGTGATTTTGAGGTTGTCCCCAGCTGCGCATGGAGACAGCAGCAGTGTGAAGACGTGGCAGAGACTCTAATTAGACGGGCCTAAGTGTGCTGAACTGAGGGAGAACCCTGGAGCGCGAGCAAACGCTGCTCAGCCCCCCTACAAACTGAGCGGGAGGAGACCCCCAGCAGTAATTACAACGTTTCACAAACCAAGCAAGACACCTCCAGGAAGTTTTCAATCAGAAAAATCCTCTTCCACTCGCCAGGGAGCTGGAGAGGAGTTGCATTTCATTAGCCCTCACCATAGGGTCCTTTTAAAGGAGGGGGGTTAAGCTTTGACTGGGGGAGGTCATCCTGTTGCGCCTGCTCTAATGGCACGCCGTCAACTGTGATTCAGCATCTCAGCTTAAAAGTATCGCATGTAAAAAAAGTTCCCATTCTTATGATATGAAACTCTCTTGTGGAATCTGTGTTTTGGTGAGGTTTCGGTTACATAGACGGATCATTGAGCTGACCCAGTATGATTATGATACAACTCTTAATAAATACGGAATAAAATCCTCAATTTAAGCTCCTGTGAGGATCTGTATCAAGTTTAGCGCCCCCTGTGGACAGCGCAGTCTCTGCTTATTTTGTCCTCTACGTACTCAAGTGGTCACTTTTAACAAAACAATCAAACATTATTAATCAATATTTTCTTATCATGAATACTTTGTAGTAAAATAGTGAGCTAAACTGGGATTTCAAAACAGAAAAACTTGTTGTTTGCAAACAAAATGACATCCTACGACTGTGTCGCGTAAAGTGTTAACATTATTTGCCACCTCCGCAGAATCAGTGCTGAGGAAAACTAGGTGCAGATTAATGTAAGGATTTGCCACAGCTTGATATTTTGGAAAGAAAATGTTTGCGAAAGTAAAGATCATTAGGTTGAAGTAATTTGTCTGTGAAAACTTTGATTTCACAAGGGTTTGAATCATCCATCTATTCAGATTTCCTTCATAAAAAGATAATTTTCCTCCTTTAACTGATATGCCTGATGTTAAAGGGCTCTGCTAAGCTGTCTCTTATTCAAAAAGGTTGGACTTTAAACCTCAGGTTCAGAGGAGCACACACTTAAGTGCTCTTGGGCAAGGCACTTCAACCCAAACTGGCCCCAGTGGCCTTGCCAGCAGTTTGTTAATGGGATTAGTTACAACTGAGGGTGCTTTACATAACAGCCTCTGCCATCAGTGGATGACTGTTACACTATTAATGTATTCACAACATCCAAACCTGCTGAAATTTTTCAAAATTGACGGCGTGTGTGAACATAAATATCTGAAACGCTTACTCCAACTGAACCAGGCCTTTTTCTGCCACCTCCCTAAAAATTTACCCCTTTATATTAAAGGGTAATTCATGCTTAAGTTTAGGTCATGGTCAAAGACACTGTAACACCGAGTTATACACCCCCTTGAGAGATGAATTGTGCCAATTGCTTGCTTCTGTAGTTATACCAACTTTAACAACGACCACACGATAGCAATACACAGCGGTCTATGTATCCACGTGCAAACTGGGACCAAAACGCCACTCTATAGCCACAAATAATACTCAGAACAGCACCCAACTTCATCAACAGTACATATAGGGTAGCCACCAAACATCTTTTTAGCTTTGCCTGATTTCTTTAGCAAAGAGACTAAACACAACTCACCCACTCTCCTCCAGCAGCCGCTTGTTTGTGGGGAAGCCCTGACGAGTCGATCACCGAGTGCAGCGGATCATTTCCATGAAGTAATAATCAGCATAATAATCATCCATCTAGATCCAGTATTTCAATAACCAAGTAAATCTGTGATGACTCATGTATAGATGTAGTGAAGTAGTGTCTTTTTTGATTTTAGATCAGTATGCTAGACAAAGGCTGCCATCTTAATTTGGTCTGTCCACCAACCAGAGGTTGTATCTTGGATTAGCTGACCCCTTAGACTCAGTCGAGACATGAGGGTCCAGTGAGAAACCAAGGCCTCATCCTTTTCAGCCTATGGTAGTATCTATAATAGATCTGTGCTCTTGCTCTGGTGTTTTCTGCAGACTGCTTTGAGAATTGACTGACTGACTCTGTAAATACGTGTAAATAGTTCTGATTGTGGTTTTTTTCATTGTTTGGTTTTATTCTCCTGTCCACCTAAAGCTAGAAAAACACATTTCTAAAGCTGAAAGGATTGTTCATAACTGTTTACTGTGTGAAACCAAATTCCCATTTTGGTTTTTCTCGAAATTTTACGTCTTATTCTATTTTTCTTTATATTATAGTGTAACAACTTTGAAGGACTTCATAAGCTGACATTCTTGGGGTACATTTTCTGAGGCTGTCATGAGAAACAAAGACGTATATTACATCATTTTGCATTACTCTGCTGAGATTATTCATGCTTTAACACAGAGGGAAATCGATCATTAAAAAGAGTGAAGAATGCATAAGATATCAGAGGGCTGTAAATTAAGAATAACTTTAATTGTAATTAACAACAATCATACAGAGTTTTAAGGAGTTTTAAAAGCAACACATCTTATTAACTCTTGTAGCAAATACTGTGGAAAAAGTATGAAATACAACATGTTTGTTTTTGTCAATAGATTTTAAAAAGTGTATGAGTAAGATGGTTCTGATTGATGGTTTCACTTTCATGTGTTGTTCATCTGAGGGAAGTGGAAACGTTCTCTTTAGTCTGTTTCTTTAAGGTCTAAATGAGAACATAATTATGAGCTGTATGTAGATTTCAGAATTCACAATTAAGATTAAATTAAAACACAATAACCAAAAATCGCACTCTGCATTCATGAGCACATGTGGATGAGGCAATGCTCTTAAAGTAATGTGTATGACACCGCTCTTTGTGTGCACTGTCTGAGCTTAAGTGTGTCTTTGTGTTTGACGTATATATTCACAGTAAAGGTGTGAAGGCGCTTTCACCTGCCTCAAGCCAGAAGCACGCCAAGGACACACACACTGACACACACTCGTACACAATTACACACTGCAGAGAGTGTCACGGAAAACAGATGTGCAAGGAACAGCACTGCATCAATTATCCTCCCAACTTCACTCAGTAAATGAGAAAAAGGATAATTATGTCATACTTATTTTTCTACCACGTCTGTCTTTTTTACTTTTTCATTTTTTTGGCGCCGGTGGTGGCAACTGTCACGGGCTGAATGTAAAAATCATCTGTGCAGGTAGAAAATGTCTAATCTTTGCTTTTTCTGTCGGGATTAGCCGGGGAAGCTGCCGTATGGCTGTCATAAAGTATTAGTAAGGCAAAAAGAGGAACAGCAGCAATATGGGATACCTGAAACTTTACAGCCAGACCAAATCCAGAATCTGTGAGTTACACAACTTCTGATACTGATTTACCATTTCTGTGTCCATTATTGGAAACAAACCCTTCTTAGTATGTTGTGTAATTTGTTGCACATACTGTAATTATATGCTCTATAGCGATAAATGCAGCAGTAACCCTCTTTGCGTATAGGTTTTCTGTATATTATTTGCTCACATCTTAAACATGAATTTGTATTAGCTTTATCTGCCCTCCCTCACCAAACCCACATGCCTTTACTTCACTGCAGAGATGGTAATTACAATCACACTAAATACTGCTGGCTTTAACCGTATCAAAAATTAATTAATATCAAATTTATTTGGGTTATCCATTGCTAAAACACATGGTTTTTGCATGCTAATGCCACGTATTTTGAAGCATTCCTGCAATTCAATTACTCGGGAATATCATTAAAGGCAACAAATTTACAGTTTAATTTGTGTGGACTATTTAAGTCGCTCCAGAGCTACACAATCCCCTTCCTCTGTAAGTGGATTAATTAATTTGAATCAATAAAGTCTCTTAGTTGGGTTGCACCACTCCCCCAAAAAATAACTAAGTCCACACAAAGCCTTATCAGCTGCAGCGGAGGTCCAAGCCCTCGCTTCTCCGCTCAAGAAGGAAGTTTTGTTGAGACAATTACTGGCAGAAGATTTCCGCCCTGCCTTTTGCTCTTTCGGCTTTTTATATTCCTGCAGGATGTTAATTTGTTTGTGCGGCATGTTTTGTGTAGTGATATTCCTTTTATATAGGAAACATGAGATCTGTTCAGGCAGAGCTCTTTGTATTAACCGTATGGTAAATATTTTCTGCATATATTAGAATCACCTTAAAACATCCTTTTTTAAAACTAGAGTTTTCCTTT